GTGCTTACAATTTGGCAGGAGTTCCTGGAGTCCAAGGCAGTTCTGTATATAGGTCTTTTAAGGGAGCAGGGAGAGTAAAGGAAGCTGGAAGCAGCAGAAGTAAACATGTCTGCATGGAGATAATGATGCTAGAGGGTAGAAAGTGAGCACATTTAAAGGGGGCATGGCAACTACATTCAGGTGGCTGTCCCCTCCTAGAAACCAAGACTGCACAGTGTTCTGAAAAAGTAAAGGAGCCACAGAAGCCATCTGTGGACAGTAACAGCCACCATGCTTAAAGCACATAAAGGACAGGACCCAAGTGCCTTGCAAAAAGATATGATTCAGCTATCTGAGGTTTCAGAGAGAAATGTGGGTGACATGCATGGGGACACTAGGCCCTCATACATCAACTGCTATAGTGGGGTCAGAGTGGGTGTGTGTCCTACAGCTCCAGGAGAGGTCAAATTCCCAGCTTCTTTGCTTACTACACAAATACCCATTTAAAAATAAAGTCTATGGTTTGTCCAGGGGACAGTCATGGAGGCTAATGTCAGAGGTCAGAAGTGCTCTCTTTCGTTCATGTAGACATGGACAAGCAATTTGGAAGCTATAGAATAACTGATAACCTCCTCATAGGGAATGTTTCCCACTCTGAGCAGTGATTTTTGGGTTGGCTCTTATTCCTTGAAACCATAGGGCAAAGTTCTGATCCTGAAAGTTAGCAGAATCTCTTTAGATGAAAAGTTGAAAAATGTGTTTTAGATTTTGCATATGTTATTTATGAACTTTATGGTTTTTATTTAATAACTCAAATTCCTTATAAACCATAGATTCCTCATGTTAGAAGTAGGGATCATAGTACCTCTTTCACAGAGCTCTTTAAAGGGATTAAACTATAAAATATAATCAAAGTATAACATATAATGTCTGTGTGAATTAATCTCTCAATAAACATTTGCTGCATAGCAAATACATGCAAGCCGAAAAGATTATCCATTAAGAGACCTTGGATCCTGAAGTGAGCCCTGTTTTCTTCATGTGACCACACAAGTGGGGGATTATGGGCCATAGGAGTTAAACTATCCCTCCATCCAAGACCATGACTTTCCCCCTCTTCTTCTTCCTATTAAGAGAACATCTAAAACATTACAAAACTGGGATGTATTCTTAGAATCAAATAAAAAAGCACTATAAAAAGATGGGGGACATGATTTGTAGCTCCCTACAGAGGTCTTGAACAAGGAAAGAGATGGTCCTCATTTATCAGCCTGCAGAAGGGTTGGGTGGGTATAGAGGTTCTCAGTCTCTGCAGTTCTAAACCTTGAACTTACAGATAGCACAATGGCTAAGAAGAAAGCGGATGGATGGAAATAGATCTTTTTGGCAGACCTGAAGAGCAACAACAATAATAACAAGACCTGGGAGTACTTGAATGAACAGGTAATACTGACCAGAGTTACAGATTTTTCAAAGGTAGCCACAACAATGTTTCTGCTTTTCCAAAACATATTTCTATTTCATAAAACAAAGCATAAGCAAACAACAAAATCACAGAGAATGAAAAGTGAAAAATTAAGGAGTCAGGATACTCAGAAGTGAATCCCTTCTGACTCCATTTTAAGCTGGAGTCACATATGGGTTTTGCTACTCTTCATTCACCAGACCACTGTCTGCCTGGCTAACTGGGCTAACAGAAGTGTCCAGGAGGAGGGATGGAAAGAAGAGACACTTAGCTTGACTCCTAAACTCTTCTCTTTAGGAAAAGGTTCTAAGAGCCCTCCCTACCCATGTCACCAAAAACGCCAGTAAATCTGGAAAACACGATTGAAACTGAGTACTGTGTGTGTTTGTCTGTCTTGTACCCTCAGGGAACAGGTGCTTTGCTCCTGATGTAAGTCTGGTACTTTGCTGGTTGCTGTTTTAATAAAATAACCCACTGGTACCTAAATCAACTTCACAGGCCTCACGGAGCCTTCATTGTTTGAAAGCTCAAATCTGTGTTGCTCAGTCAGGCACAAAAGGATGACTGTAACTGGCAACAGAGACTGTCATGTGGTGGAGATCTTAAACACAGAGTGAAGCTAATATGGAGCCATTAGCTGGAGTTTTTAGAAACATAAGATATCTTTTATTATTTCCTAGTCTGAAGTACAAATATCAAGGCCTATCATTTATTGTATACTTTGTAATATACATGAAGAAAAAATTAGCATCATTAATTCCATTTTCCAGGTGAGAAAACAAATTGCAAAGCACAAAACATGGAAAGTAGTCTGTGGTAGTAGATCAGGCTTTGGAGCAGCTAGGTAGAATTCTGACTCCACCACTGACTCAGTTTTTTATTAGGACAAGGCCTGAATTTCAGTGCTCACCTCCATTACATTTTAAAATAAGAAAAAGCAGGGACCCATGCCTGTTTTGTACACTACTGACCAACCTTTAGTAATACTTAAAACAAGACAAAACACCAAAGACTGAAGATAGAAGACAGATATAAATCCCCAGTTGGATAGTAAGACAAGTACTTTAAAGCCGAGTGAATGCTGTAAGACAGCTTACAGATTTCTATCACTGAGCCAAGAGACAGCTCAGACCAGCACAAGGCAGTCCCTTCCTCACTCCATTTGCTCCAGAAGTGTGGATGGTTTGTTTAACTTTCCCTGTTTATGTATGCCTCGGGTGTCCTTTTGCTGATTTAGCTTCCCCGTGAGATGTTGGTTATTCAGTAGTCTTCCTAGAACTCTCTGGATAAATGTCTCTGCTCTGCATCTGTTTTGCCCAAGTTCTTTACTATTCTGAGTTATTCTCACTTCAGGGTAGCTCCTCCAAGCTTCTAAGTTATGGATCTCAATCTTGTTTCTAGTTTCTCCCAGTGCTGCTAAGCTGTTTTGCTCCCATTGAATCATTTCTTGAGTTCTCAAGCCAACTCACTATGTACATGGCTTGAAAGGAGTGGTGTCATCAGTGCTTACATACTATAGACTTCATGTACCCACATACTACCAGATTTCATACTACATTACTAAGGATCTTTTTACTCTTGGAAGCATTTAGATCAGTAAAGGGAAGCTCAATAAAAGGTGAAGAGAAATAAAGATCCAGTTAGTAGCACTCACAGCTAACAGAGTAAAAAATAGAAGTAGAGCTTTAACTGCAAAAGTGTCAGGAAGGAAAATGTTTATTCTTCTGCCAAATATTTAAAGAGGCTCTACCAGGCCAAGCACCTATGTAGGTCCTTGTGGCCCTTGAAATAACAGCGAAGGAACAATTTCTCAATCTTAGCATGAGAGGTATTTTGGGAAGAATATGCCATCACTGTGTGCTCAGGAGAGTGGGAGAGGGTGGGCATAAGAGTACAGCAGGGGGTGTTCTGTGTAACAAAGATGGGAAGCAGCTTCCATGATCTCTACCCATTAGATGCCAGGGGCTTTTTGACACTCCTTCCCTGTTGTGACAACCAAAAACTCCTCCAGTGTTATTAAATGTCTTCTGGGAACAAAAGAACCCTATTGAGAATCACTACTTTGAGGAAAATGGATAATTTATATAATATATTATTATAAGTATCACCGTCAAAAAGCATGAGTGAAAAAGAGGATTCCTTAATTTAGGGGAAAGTGAGAGTATGCTATAAAAAGTGAATGAAATCTGAAAAATGTTTATTACTATGACAAGCACGAGAGAATGGGAAAAGTCATAGGCTGGATAAGAAATAAGTTGTAGAAACCTTCATCTATTCATAAACCTTTTAAGTTATCTATAAAGCTCAGATAAAGCTAAACTGGAAGTCCAAGTGTCTCCCCTGTTTTACCATTTTATAAATATTATGTGCTATTAAGAGGAATGGCCATTGCACAAAGATGAAAGAGAGACACAGGGCTTGGGGATGTGCGGATGGTGAACTCTTCCCAGAATGTGGTGCCACTTTATTATGAGATTATCTCTTACATTCTAAGAGATTGGAACTTTTGCTGGACCTTGTGGATGACTTGTGGATGACTCTGAGGTCACGGGAAGACTTAACACTGTATGTTCTCCATTTGTTTAACTTGGATTTAAGAGAACAATGTAACAACCAACCTTATTTGCCTTGAGTTTACCATGTAATCAAGGTTTACAACCTGAGATAATGACTATCTTTAATCTTATGCACTCTTCATGCCTTGACCCAAGAGTAACACACGTATGTATGTGTGTTATGGTAATAGATGCTGAAAACAGAAAACAGGTTGAAAGTAACTTTATAAACAAATATCCACCATGAACACTGGAAACAACATATGTATATTCCTTGGGAACTTTTGTTAGTTTCTTATTTGGGGTCAGCTACAGTCAGTGACTTAATCCCTGTAGAACTCTGTTGAAGGTTTCTATAAAGCATCATTCCTTCTCCCAAGTGACGCTGTCTGTGCTGCCCGATAAAATCAGAACAGAAGTCTTTTGTTAGGGACACACATAGACAAAACAGCATTCACACAGGCACAGGGACACAGATTCAGACTCATGCAACAGATTACAGATGAGTCAGAAACCAAACCTATAAGAGATGGGAGACATGGGAGAGAGTTGAAGTATTCAAGTCTGGGTTCACTCAGGGTCCAATGACCCCAAGGGGAAGTGCTTGGATTCTTCTCTTAATGTGACATACTGGTGACTGAGATAATGACTAATGTGTTTAAATTGACGCTTTTTGGTGCCTTGTGTGAGGAATCTCTAATGTGTTAAATTGATGGACTAGAGTAGGCAGACTGAGTTAAAGTACTCTAGAAACACAGGCGATATCTGTAATTCAGTGTGCTTTATAGGTCAGAAATCTTAGAGAATTAGATACACTCAAACTTTAGATAAGGTGATTACAGAAGGTTACTAATAGAGTCTTCTTCCCCACACTCCTAGAATGTTGAGGTCATAGATTCCTTAAATGCTACATTAAACTTTCCTATTACAGAAACAAGTTCCCTGTCCAGCTTCCTTAGTAAATTGAGGCTCTAAAGTAACAGAGAGCCCAGCAATCTTACCTCTGCACTAGAGTTCCAAAAGCAAGGCGGAGAAACTTCTGCATGTTTTCAGTACACAGCCATTTCCACTGCTCCATTAACAGCAAGAGGATGAGGTCGAAGGCCGTGTCAGCTAACTCTATCTCTGTTCCTGGAGACAAAGCATCACATGTGACTCAGGTAGTGATACTCCTTTTTCAGAACTTTAGTGGCAGCTAGGGCTAGCTTCTTGTCATTATCCTATATTTCTGAGATCCCTTTGTGCAATATAAATCAAGAAATGCTTATATCTAGAACATTCAGTGATGTACTCAGTATGTTTTTCAACTTTTTTGTTTTCTGATGTTCTGTGGTGACAGGTTTATCTTATTAACAGATTTTGCATTATTTTACCTACCTGGCATCAGTTTCCCTTGTATTTCTCCAGAGTTCTGACTCCATTCTACTTCAATTAGGGGCTTACAACTGGTGAATGACTGGAACCAGCAACACATTGTCCCTTCCACTAGACCCTACAATGGATCATGGAAAAGAGTGGGCCAGTTGGGGGAAAGAGCTGGGCTTCATTCTCCTGTAAAACCATTTCTATTACACAGAGCTGGGGGGTGAGCTCAGGAGGCTTTAGTCTAACTTTGAGATAACATGTGGTTCTAGGGAAAGCACCACACCTCTGATAAAATGCCGGTTTTTACTAATTTCTTTCCCATTTGGAAGACCTGAGGGGCCACAGATGGGCTCATGTTGATCCTGGGCTGAAGTGTCCTGAACATCTATCTATTCACGGGACAGAAGCATCTATTCTCTAAATCTGTGCTGAGGCTCTCATGTCATAGCAGTGTCCCAGGGGTTTGATGATGTTTCACAATGATTCAGGGAACCTGGTATTTCTGTTGTGATTAATGTTATCATTATAACCAACAGTGTTCTGCTAGACTAGGCTCAATGGGGATTTTCTGGACCAGCCTACACCAGCTTTCCTCTTCCAAGGATGTTTTAGAACACAAATCACTTTGGGTTTGGGCAGATCTGTTAGAACTGAATCTCACTTCATTTTAGACTCTTCCAAGTATATATTTTCTTTTTCTGTGCTGTATTTCAAGGGGGTGTGGAAAATGATGAGTTGCTTTCTAGTCGTTTGCTCGAAGGTGGGCTACTACCTCAGGAAACTGCCTCCTCACCACCATTTCCTCAGTAGGAGCATTTGTCTGGGGTTGCCACCCTGTGGTAACATGTAGTCATAGCAGTTAAAATAAAGCAAACAAATGACCATAGGTCCTTTTGAGGAAAGCGATAAACTAACACAGAGACATTAGTAATCAAGACAACACCTCACAAACATGCCTATAGGACAAGCTGACTTAGGCAATTCCTCAATCAATTGAGATTTTCCTCTCAGATGACTCTAGGGTGTGTCATGTTGACAATCACAGCTAACTAGGACAGTCAGAAGCCCCGTTTTGTCACATGATTAAACTGAGATCCATGTAACAGAGGCCAGGTGATTTATTTGTTCTTGAGCACCTGGGAAAAAATGTAAAATTAGTTTTTTATTCCCTTTCTGTTCTCAGGGTTTTGTGATCATTGTCTTAGCAGGGGTCTTTGTTTTAGTTAATCAATATAACTTTCTTACTTTTATGGTTGTGAGACTAGCCTTTAATGGCTGAGCCATCTCTCCAGTCCAATAAAACTTTCTTCCTCTTACATTCTATGTCACTGAACATATGAAAAGCTAGGTTCTGAGTTTTCCTCTGCAGGAAATACTTGACCTTCTCTTGGAAAGAAAATGCTTAGGTGGGGCTCAGACCCTTCATCTTCTCTGCCTGTTTGCCCTGGGAAACTAGAAAGATCCATCTGCAATGGCAGGAAGTAAAGCAGGTCCAGTCTTGGGAGAAGATGAATTCTAGGTGATGATGTCTGTTTCAGTTGTTTTGTGGTCTATCCATGGAGATGTATGCCATTCACTATGAAGGCATCACTGGTATATGGGCAAAGGCAGAAGCTCACAGTACACATGTGCTTACCCAGGGATGAACACAACTACAACATTTCCAGAATGATGTTAAGGAACCCAAAAAGGGACTGAGAGAAACAGAAACAAAGAGAGGGGATAAAGAGAGTGTGGAGCGAGAGAGAAACATCAGGAAAGTGGTACCACAGACACTGACAGATGGGAGTTGTCTAGAAAAAGACAGTAGCCCCCATGCCAAAATTAACACAGTGATACTATGCATACAGATATTTCCCTGATGCTTGACTAGATCTGAAAACCATTTCTACCTTTGGACCCTGGCATCTCTATCTTTGGAAGTACTTCAACACATGGGTCTCTTGGCTGAGCACAAGGGAAATCAGAGTTATACAGTCCACCTACCATGAGTCCCAGTGGACATCTCCCTGGCTCTTTATTGCAGAAGCAAAGGTCTTGTCACTCACCTGGGTCAGCCTTGTTGAACTCTTGGGCTACCACAGCTTCATCCAGCAAACCACTATCTACACATTCGTTGGGGACTTGTTGTGGATCTTTATCTGGGACTTCTGCTGGCTGCATTTCCAGTAACTTTGTCTGCTTTTCAATGAAAGATTCTATGCCAGACATGGACAGTATCTCTGACCCCTGAAGAAACAAACAGTGGCAAAGGTCACCAATAATGCACAAGTCAGAATAAATATAGCATCAAGGTTTTCCATCTCTCATCTGCAAAAGTACCATGTGCACAGAGCTCACTAACCCTGTGGCCATGTCAGGGAAGTTTTCACTCCTTATTCAAGTTGCAAGTAAAACTAACCTGCTTTGGGATAATAACTTTTGTACACTGCTGGATCATCTGTTCTCATCTAGAAACCGGGTCTCCTTCTCATGCTGTCATTATTATTTCAAACCCATTACCATAAGAAGCCAACTTGTCAACTCAGAACCGATACAATTCTAAAGCACTAGAGGAAACATTTTTAGCATAAAATTTGAAGACCCAGATATTAGCTAAGTGCTTGACCAGGGCACCTGATTCTTCTCTGACTTTGGAGAAGCATCCTACCTACTATATTTGCAGGATCAAAACCTCAGATTGTAATTCTGGCAGTATTCTGGGTTTGGGCTCTTACCACATTGCCTTCCTGGAGGCAGTAGACAATCCTGTCTTGTGCCTCAGCTATATTCAGCGCAGGAGCAATTTTACTGGATGAAAACCTCAGTCTGGACCTGACACAGAAACAAAGGCAAAACGTAAGGCAAAAATTCATGATCATAGTCCCTAAAAAAGAGGCTGGCAAGTAATGGCAACGTTATTAAAACACAAAAAAATCCATGCTTACTCTGGGGTGGGGGTGGGGTTTAGCATGCTAACTACCTGGAAGATGGGACCCTGAAATCTCCCAAACAACGCATACTTGGCAATTCTTCAAAGACAGTGCTATATTTTGTTAAGTTTATAGAGTACTTATGAAAGGGCTTTTGTCAAGTAAAATAGTGCTTAATCTGTCACAGCTATATTCTCAGAGGCTGGATGGCAGGCTAGCACATGGTAGGCATGCATGGAAATTTTGTTGAAGATTAAACAGACAAATGTCATAGACTAAGGGTTTTTGTTACTGTTTTGGTATCTTTTGGGGACAATCACTTGTTCCCCTTGTGTTCCATATAAGACTGGAGAATTACACACATGATAGCTTCAAAAAAAATACGGTCACTTTTATACAGACATCATGGTTGTTTCACACATGAGCTCAAATGAAAGGCTAAGTATTGAGACTACAGGAATGGCTCCAAGATTAAGAGCACTTACTGCTCTTTCCAAGGACCTAAGTTCAGTTCCTAGCACGCATATCAGGTGGCTCATAACTGTCTATAACTCCAGCTCTGGGGATCTGATGTCCTTTTCTGATCTCTGTGGGTACTAGCATACATGTACACATATACACATCCATACACATGCATAAAAATAAAATAAGTCTTTATTTTAAAGGCTAAGTACCAGAGTACTGTGAAGACAATATTGCTGGCTCATAACATGAACACGAATAGAACCAGTCAGGTACATATTCATTTACAGTCTCTCTTTCTCTCTCCGCTTCCCTTCCTCCCCAATGGACCACATTCACACAAAATTCTCAATAAGGGTGCATGTGTTGTCCTTCTCTTCCACATGTTGGTGTGGAGTGCTTCCAGGAACCAGCTGGGACGTTATTGTGGCAGAGAGTAGCAATAAACCAGTTACTAAAATACACCCTGCAGGTTTCCATACTAGCTCTTTCCTGTTTATTGCTTGGATAAGTACTCTCTGAGCCAAATTTTCCAAAAACGATGGCAAACAAATCAATTATAAGCCTTGATTCTTAGTAGGAAAGATGCGCCTCAATTTCTACAAAAAGAAGAGTAACCAGCCTCTGGAGTCTTCCCTTCTAGTCAAAATTCGCAGTGAGTTGGGCCAGGGTTCCCTGTGCAGGAGCACATGCTCAGCAGTGTTGCCTTGGCAGCATCCCAGATGACTTGGGTAGAGCATTGTAGAAGCCAACCTCTGGATTTGCTAAGAAGCCAGTGGGAAGCATGCACCTCCTCTCCTCTAGGGCTTAAGGATGGAAGGGAGCTTTGGCTGAGGACTAGGAATCAAGCTGAGGACAGGGGCCCTGAGCCACTGAAGGGCTTCTCACTTGCTAGCCTTCTTGCCTTCTGTCTGGGGCTTGCTTTCATTCTCAGCTTCACTCAGCTCCTCCGTGGGGCTCTGGGGTTCAGAGCGAGGAAATGCTGTCTTCAAGGTGTCCACGATAGCACTCACCACCATCTGCAGGGTTGGAGGTAAGGGGTCAGTATGGCTATGCACATCCTTGATGGCAGTGACAGAGAACAGTGCAGTCATATCTCTGTGCTTTACACCACAGGATGAAAAGAGCCAGCCATACAGAGCCTTAGCCTTGAGAAAGTCAGAAACCAGCCAGAGACAACAATTCTTTGTCTCTCTGTCTAGAACAATCTTCTCCATGGTGTAAGAAAAACAATACCACAGGACAAGAAGCCAAAAGGGAAAGGAGGAGAAACAAAAACTCATGGGAGTTCCTCAGGTCGGGAATACTTTTAATTATTTTTTTTTCTTCTCATCTCCATTTTTCTTTCCTTACATACCATTGTTATTTCCACTAATTCACACTTTGGTGACAGTATTATCAATTTGGAAACTAGGAACCACCTTTTTATGTAAAAAGAAAAAAAAATACAGTGTAGCAGCTTAAATGATATAAACACATTGCAAGGGTTCATAGAGTAACAAGCTGGATTTGTAGTCAGATCAAACAATTTTCTTCTTTAGGTATAGAAAAATAAAAATCACTCAGGCCTGAAGTTAAGCTAAATGGAATTGCTATAAAGAAAAAAAACACCTGTGAAAAAGATAAGAATCATCTATACTTTTTTCAGAATGAGAAAGCGACATGCATTTCTTTGCTATCAAATGTACAAAACCAAAAAAAAAAAAAAAAAAAATCAAAGAAATGAAGGTAAACATATGTTAGTAAGTGCTGCTGGTTCAGAGTAGCAGCAGGCCTTCTGTAACTCATTCTTGTGGTAATCCCGCACAGCAGCACAGCTAGTACAGCCAAGACATACTGGACAATCAGCAAAACCACAGGGAGCACTGGGAAAACAAACCAGGAAGAGACAGGACAGCATGAACATAAAAAACTCAGCTTAGAAAACAATTTGTAGGCTGGGGTGATGGCTCAATGGGTGAAGTCTTTCCTCACGATTCCTAGCACTTACAGAAAAACTGGGTGTGCTGCTACACATCTATAACTCCAGTGCTGCTGGGCTGGGGGCACATCCCAGGGCCTGCCAGTCTAGCCAATACTACAGAACTTCAGGGTCAGTGAGAATCCTTGTCTCAAAAGATAGGAGTAATCTCCTGTGTCCTCCACACACATGGATGGTTGAATGCTCTAGTGTGCATATGCACACAAATATAACACAACTTTCTTTTAGGCCTCAAGGATTGTAATTGATGGGAGGGACTCCACTTTGGCCTTACTGGAAACTAGTACAGTGCCTTGCTCAAAATAGTCAGCCTCGCTGAATGTGATGGCACCTGCCTGTAATCCGAGCATTTGAGAGGCTGAGGACAAGGATGAATTTGAGACCAGCGGGACCATATTAGTAGTTCCAGACCACACTAGGCTATGATGAGATCCTACCAAAAACAGAGAAACAGGCAATAACAAAGCAAGTTCCCCATAAGGAAATGAGGAAAGGATCAATGAACATATCTGCTCAGAACTCTGGGAGTTTGACCTAGTTTATCTCTTTCTAGTTTGGGTTTTTCCCCATAATAAAGGATGTTCTCTAATATCTATCACTGAGGCTCCAATGTACTGTATTACACAAGTATCCTTCTCCTACCACCTATACAGGTCCTGAGACACCTTCTTGAAGAATAAAACATCCTCTGCATGTTGTGTTCTCCAGCAGAGGATCACCACACCAATCCCAGGTAATGTCCTATCTTAGAGCTGTTTGCTGAGTGCCCAATGATGTGAATAACTAGTCTCTCCGGAAGAATACCTTCTGCCATCCATGGAGGTTCACTTTTGTTCTTACACACCTCCAATAGAACAGTATCACAGTAATTCCAGGAGGTATATATAATATTTATAATATAATATATATTATATTGAGGGCACCGTCTTCCAACAGTTGCTCACTATGATTAGGCAAGTTGATGGTCCAGCTAATATTTGGCAACAGGTCTTGAAAATGTTAGTCCATGTTCTATTGACTTTCTCTATGCTTCCTCTAATTATGCACTTATTTTTCCCAGCATGGTTTCCACTCTAACGGACACTGCACGCATGCAGACAGGAATGAAAGCTGAGCACAGTGGCTCTGCTGTTACCTTGTCTATTCTAGAGACCATAAATGGCTTCTTGACAAAAGCAATTCGAGCATCTGTGTTCAGAGCAAGGAACTCCTGCACCTCCTCACTGTTGGCAATCTCAGGAATGGCACAGAGTTGCTGCAATAGAAGAACATTTTAGAAGAAATCCCAGGCCCCAGAGCTCACTACCTTGGGTTTGAAGTGTGGGGTGAGAATGCAAACAAAGCCAGAAGAAAAGATGCTGACCTTCAGGAATGACTCCAGGAGGCTCTTCCGGGCTTCTACTCTATCACTATCCATGTTTCCAAACGGAAGATCTGGAAAGAGCTTTTTCGGACCCTTCACATCTTCAAAACAAAGCAAAACCAAACCAAACCAAATCATCCATTTACCATCCACATGGATATTTCATATAAAACAAACAGAATCACTGAATATATTTCCCGAGGCTTTGTGCTGGGTCCCAGGGTTGTGATGCAATGATCTATTCTCATTAATGTAAAGAGAAGATATAATGCAGCAGTTACATCAGTTCTCTTAAGCCCAATGGCCCAAGTTCAAGTTTGGGCTCCAATTCATGCTATACTGACCTTAGACAACCTGCATGATCTGTAACTTGCTTTTCTGTAAGGAATGATAATACCTAGCTCCTGGGCCATTAGACGGCTACATGAGCTAACACATATAAAGTATGTAGAAGAGAACCAGGCATGACTTTGAAGCTTATCCTGATATTATCTATGTAATTAAATGCATAATTTACATCCAATTTATCATTTATTTGGGTGACCATTAGCATCTAAAACCAACAACCAAAACAAAAGTAGACAGTTCCTAGCTTATTTATAATTAAATTTTATTACATTTTAAACTCTTCCTTGTGCCTTAGTTGTGTCAAACAGCACACAAAAGGCTTAGTTGTTATTAAAGACAAGGATTTCTGGGTTATTTAAGATAATCCACAGACCTGGAAATGCTAATTTAGATTCTCAAGTGATTCTATGGGTACAGGTAGAAATGTGACTGCTGCTTAAGTATAAACTATATGGGGACACTAGAGCAAATCATGGCACAAGGGCAACCTCAGAGGGGATTCCATCACAGCTGTCCAGCTCTAGGCCCCACAGCTTCTCAAGCAAACTTGGGGACAGGACGATATCAGTGCTGCCTTCTGCTCCCCACAAACCCAGAGGCCACCAAGCATAATTTGCAAGCTGGCATTTGGAGCTTGGGGAACTTCTGACTTTTGATAAACTTTCGTAGATCTGGCTTCTCCTCCAGGCGGGTCTGCAGGTTCAAGAATTCCCGGTATCGGCGGTTCACAGTGTGGTAGGCCAACTGCTGTAGGCCGCTGCTGTTCTCACCATTAAGGGCTGTCTCATACTGTGGAAGGAACGGAGTTAAGGATGGAATCAGTGAGGTTTATGGAATTGACGCTGGCTTTAATGACTTGTTCAGTGGCCACAGCAGAGTCTGGCTAAAGGGGAAAAGCTTCACTTAATGCTGCAGACCCTTAACAGTCACCCTTAGTTCTAACAGACAACCCAAACTCCAAGGCAGCTGAAGGAGCTGTACTTTGATACCCCTTGCTCAGGCAAATACTTTTCATCGTTCCATATGATTACTTCTGTCCATAAGTTCCTACTCCCAAAGTAGCTACATAACTTTTTCAAATCCCAAACAGCAAATATGCATAAAGTATGTCTTTGCTTGGAATATTTCTTTCTCTTTTTGTTGCCTTGGGCAGATTAATCCCTTTAATTGTCATTCTTGGAACTGAACTGAAATTCTTTGTGTTAAGTATATATTAGGTGTATCATTAGACAATTGGGAATGTTTTATGAGGTCAATCTGCTGCCTTCATATGCCTAAAGGGCCAGGATGTGGGGGAGATGATCCACACTGCACATGCCTAGAAAAGCAAGCACCCAAGCAGCATGAAAGCCATGGCTGCTCAAGGGAAGACTTTCTAACAGAGAAGCCCAGATAGAGAGGGGCTATGACCAACTGTGCATATGTTTGCTCTAGCCAGAAATTGGTTATTCTTTGGTTGAAATAATGTAGAATGGCAAGTGATTAAAAAAAAAATCTCCTTGTCGGAAGAACTTGGTGTTTGAACATTTCTAGAGCAGGAGAGGAAGAGATAATCACTATGAGCTGAGGTGAGCAAAGAAGTCTCTCAGACACATACTGAGGAGAGAGACAGGCAGAATTCAGGGCAGAGCTTTCAGGCTTGGAGCACCTGAGAACTAGGATGCCTTCTGTGGAATATTCTGCCCTGCCCCGTGAGGGACAACTTAATTATTCTGATAAGAAGAAAAACTGTTCTCTGCTATCAGTACATGAATATGTCACAAGAAGAAAATTAAATAGCCAGAACCTGACATTTGTATGTGAGCATGGGCATACCAGAGAGACAACTAAAATCTGAACAAGCAGGCAAACTGTTAAAGTTATGCTACTGTTTGACCATCACCTGGTATTCATTGCCTAGCAACTTGTGTGTTCAAGAGATGCCTGTTTTATAAAGGTCCTGCAACTGAGTGTAGATAGACCTATGAGTGCACGGGTGCTTCTATTTATGTTAGTAATTCTAACTGAGCTGGTGTTTGACCATTTCTAGAGCTAGAGAGGAAGGGTTAATTCACTGTGAGCCTAGGTGAGCAAAGAAGACTCTCTAACAAGTCCTGAGAAGAAGACAGGCAAAATTCAGGACAGAACTTTCAAGCTCTAACACCGTCTTAACTTCAAATGTTATGTGATTTTTACAATGCCAGGTCATCTTGCACTGGGCCCCACCAGGAGGAGTAGTATGTTCAGCCTCATACTGGTGATGGTTCTTAGATGGATAAACACGGAAATTCCAGAAGGCAGGTGAACCCTCTTCTGGCCTCCACAAGCACCAGACACACAATGCCCTTACATACATGCAGGCAAAATACAGACATAAAATAAAAATAAATATTTTTTTAATGTAGAATCTTGGGATGCATTCTTAGAAATTCTTACCCAGAATCTGTCTGTCAGAATCAGTATATTTAAAAAGCAGCCCATGTGAATCTAAAATGGAACCAGGTTTGAGAACCAAAAAAAAATTTGACCCTCAGTATTCTAACACTGAGCTGCTACAGCTGTATGTATGGTTATGGTTATGGGGTAAGAGCCTATCCTGGCTTCCAAATTAGCGGCACAGCACTCACACATTTGTTTAATTAAACATGGGGATACCTTTATCTGCCCTTGCAACATTCTGCTTACTGACTCTGCCTTCCAAACCCATACCCAGTGAGCGAGCGCAGCTGTGATCCTGTTACCTTCACAGTGTACAGTGTGTATGGGTGGAATCCAGTACCACTGTGCTCTCGGGCCGTGATGGTGCCAGTGATTCGCAGGTTCTGGATGACAACTGGGCCATCTGGACTGCTTAGGGGCTCAAAGCTGAAGGTGGCTGAGCTGAGAGGACCAGATGGAGAGGAGGGAAGTGGCACTGATGTCAGAGTAGGATCAAGGGAGCTCACACCACTGGTGACATCCTTTTCTAAGCATGAAGGTCGTAAGGGGCAGGTCTTTTCTGGTTCCTCTAGCAAAACCGTAAGAGAGGTGACATCTCCTTGTTCTACCTCCTTGTCAGCTGTGTCAATCTGAATCTCTGGACAGTTGAGCATGGAGACCAGCAGGCCTGTCTCTGTTTCTGTTCCTGGAGCCTCCTCGGCTTCTGTTCCTTCCATGCTTTCAGATCCCTCGCCATCCTTGGGCTCCAGAGCCTGGGAATCCTCTAGGGCACACAGAGCATCTTGAATCCTGTCAGACAGGAAGTTGCCTGGAGTCATTAGCATGATGGTTTCTTTGCCCAGTTCAGACAGTGGTGACTCCAGTTCTGAGTCTTCACATAAGAACAAGGGGCCTCGGATATCTGGCTGTAGAAAATGGGAGGAATTATTTCCTACTTTTCTTTCTTCAAGCATCCCATCCAAATATCCCTCTACAGCTTCATGGCCTTCTTCAACCTCTGGGGAGGGGACCGGTTCACTGCAGGTTAAGTGTACTGGGGCTGCTACAGGAGAAAGCGTTTTTCCTGTGGGCAGACTCTCAACTTCAACAGTCAGTGGCAGAGATGTGGGCACTGAGGGCTGCTCTAGGACACTGGCTGAGCAGGGGGGTTTAGCGCCTTGCCCCACATCGTGTCTATACTTGGAAAAGATACTCACAAGTATAAGGTGGATCCAGTCAGGATCTGAGAGCTTGCTGATCAGTGGTAAGATTACATTGCAAGTGATGAGTTCGACCACTACGTGGCGTCCAGTCCTAGTCTCCATGTGGGGCTTGGGCACTAACCCTTGAAGTAACAAATTCACAATACCACGTGCGTAAGCGATCTCATTGGTGGGACTGTTTGTGGCAGGATGGGGAGTAGTATCCTGGAAGTAAGCATCCCACAGCTGGGAGGGCTGAACAGGACAGCTCTGCTCCCTTGCAGTAGCCTCCTTTGCCTGAATATAGTTCTGCAGGTGACATCCACAGAGAGTCAGTACCCTCTGGGTAAGAGCGTGGTTGTCCACTATGCTCATCCGCCTTCGAAGTTCCTGAACCAATCCTTTCATGGCTGCCTCCATCTCTACCTCGAATGCTGGCTCCTGGCTCACTGAGCGATACCAAGATACGACAAAATCTCTGATGATCATCTGGATGGTGCGATTAATCTCCTGTTCCAGCTGCCTTTCTGCCTCGGGACATGGAGGAGAGGTGGTGATCTTGATGAATCGTTCCAGGTGCAATTGACCTGAAGCTCCTACAATGGCACTGGCACCCAGCCATCCTCCCAGCACCACCAACGATGCACACAGAAGGATCAGAAGCCAAATGTTGACCAGAAGGTGGATGACCAGTAGCCAGCCTAGCAATGCCCCCATAACCACCAGCTTCCGGCTACTCCACAGATTACTGTAGACACAGCTGGGCTCAGGGGTATTCTCTTGGCTCGGGCACACTGTTTCTGCCTTCATGGCTGAAAGGGCAGGTGGTTTCCACAGATGACAGCCTCCTATTTTACTTTGGTGTCAGGAGAGCACGAAGTGTTCCAGAAAAGAACACGTCCGGGTGCTATTGAGTGAACTCTGGACCCCTCGATACTACAGGCACTGCAAAGTGACAGAGAAAGCCCGGCTTCTCCCGCTCGCTTCTGTCAAATGAGCCCACCAACTAGCCTCTTCCGACCGAGATGAAGAAAACTTGAGGGCCTTCATCATGGCCCGGGCGGAGAGTCTCTTCGCAGCCCCGCGCGGCCCAGAGACACTTACGAGCGCCCGAAGCGGCGGCCCGCAGGTCGGGTCACACGTCGCCGGGAGCCGCGTGCCCAGACTGCGTCCCTGTCTGGAGCGGACTCATTGGGGGTTTCTTCCGACCGCTGCGGCCAGCAGCCACAGCAAGCTCCGGCAACCCAAGCGACTACGCTCCACCGCTCCAAAGCGGTCAAAGCTGCCAGCCGGCTGCCAGCCGGCGACAGCTTCCGGGTCGCAGCCTGCGGGAGCGGGGTATGCTGGGAGAGCGGCCCGGTGGAGCAGCGCCACTGGCGCCCCCTGGTGGTGAGGAGTAGTGGCGACGGCGGGCGGGCGCACCGCTCCGCAAGCCTGAGAGCTCAACCAGAGCCAAAAAGTATGGATGTCTATAGCTCTCTAAAGCTTTGTTTGTGAATACCTCTAGCCGCTTAGGTAAACTTTCAGTAATCCAGTTTGTTTCATTCCCTGAAAGGCATATTTTTTAGGAGCTTGAGGAATTTTAAACACTCTTCCTGCCTCCTCTAGACTCCCCTCCAACTCCTGCCATCCTCAATTCACAGTCCACCTCATTTGTCCTCCGGAGTTGTAAAAGGTAAGTATTAAGTCATATTTGTGAGGTGGGGTAGGCTTCTGGTGAATATTTTCTATGTTTAGTCACTGCATTGGAGAACGGGTCATCATAGCCCTTGCAGCTAATTGGGGAAATGAGTTTATTTGATGTAAACGGGCTTCAGTAAAGCGAGTTCATTTGGAATATACTGAAATACAAAATGTTAAGTGAGCTCAGGAACTATGCCAGTGAATCACAGTGGTTAAAGGGATCCCATTAAAAAAATGGTCTTTGTGCTGAGTCTTGAAGGAAGAGAGTTTTCTATGCACTTCCTTCCCAGACGCACAGGCAAGCAAGGCAGAGGTAGGGATGGCGTTTTTAGGTCATTCTCTAACACATTTGGTTTGGAATATGCCCATGCCTGTCTTCAGCTTTGAATACCCCTGCTAGTTGTCTACTCAAAAAGAATGACCTACAAAGAGAGTTAGTATCTGAAAGTGGCCCTGGCTGTGTGTAGAAGGGTTTCTATCTATATTGTGTGAAGCCTGTATAGGTCTCTACCGTGGTCCTTAGGAACTGTTCTACAGTGTGGCTCCTCTTTCTATTTGCACACAGATAAATGTCATTTGCATAGTTCTTTGTGATTCTGTAGCTATTTACTCCCAAGAGGCTTGGAATCCCTAGGCAAATTTCAACCGAAAAACCCCGTGTCACCAGGAGAGATATTATAGCTGCCTTTCTCATCTCCACCTTTGATGTTGAGACGGTAACTTCATTTGAATACAAAAGAAACTATCATTTATAAGTGGATGTGGTTGACAACTAATCACCTTTAAGGCTGACAATATAATTTAGGATCCAAGTGTCCACTAAGCAGGCAAGGCTATTTCTGAAGTTAAAAATCACTAGGCCATGTGTCCATGCTGAATGTCACTTCACAGACACCTTCCTCCCAGTGGAAAGGAACATGAGAACTGCATACTGCCCCTTATGACCCCCCCCCCCCAAACCATTCTGTTGTTGGGAACAATTACCTGACAGAACTTCACTGGAAAAATAAATATCCCTGCCACCTGCATGAGAATTACAGCAGAAAATTAAATGATGGAGGAACTAATGATGCCACTTAAGACTTCTCTTGGCAGCTCAGAAAAAAAAGTTTCTGTGCATCACAATATGAAAAGTGCAGGGCAATAAGCAACTAACCTTGTAAGTGGGCGTTATGCCACCTGACCAGATGGTCTGGAGCACTGAGGTAGCCAAGAGTGTCTTCCTGATTCTGAAGCAGATTTGATGGACATGCCAATGCACTTCTCATTTGGACGGCTATGAGCTTCTGCCTGGGGATTCGGGACAGATCTTAGTCTCCAAACAGATTAAACATTGGGACGAGTTGAGAGTCAGGCCTGATATAGAATAGTGTGTGCGCGTGGTGGAGGAGGCTGGTTAGTCAGTCCCCTCTCAAGAGGCTCTTCTTTCCTTGCTACTTGTTGTTTCTCAGAACATTAAAAGCTTAGTGCTAGAGCATTAGGGATAAGAAGACAAAAGCCATCAATGCACCTAAAGGTGTTCTCAGCCTAATCAAAAAGAGAACACATTTGAACGTGATGTCATGTTTAATGTGATGTGACATGATAGTTGCAGTCAGAGACAGTATGATAAAATGCAAACACAAAGGATGGATAGTGACCTATGGAATAGGGTGGTTCCTGGATGCTTACTCCTATATTTGCAAACAAGAAAGAAGTAAGCATATTTTAATAAAATATAGACTAGGAAAAATAGGGGCATAGGGAGGGACTTTTTTTTAGGTACCACGAGAACAAAAGGCACTGGGACAAGAGGCTAGGTTGGAACAAGTTCGTGCCATTCCTCACATTTCTCTTAAAAACAGAAGTTAGAGCAGGTTTAGTGTTATAGGCCTGTATTACAAGATAGTTGCGAGCTCTGGGCAGGTAGGTTAAAAGACCTGCCTGGACCACAGAGTAAGCTCAAGGGCAGCCTGAATGACTTACTCAAACTTAATTTGTTCAAAATAAAAAAATAAGGACACAAGACTAGGACTATAGCTCGGTGGTTGAATGTTGTCGAGCTTCTTCAAGGCCTTGCATTCAATCTCTGGTGCTAGCAACAAAAATGAGAGTAAAATAAACCCGAAAGGTAGAGTACTTTCCTGGAGAGAATTATGATGATGGCACAGGTGAGTCAAGAAGGGGTGGTGATGTAGAACTATTGCTGGAAAACAGGAAGTAACAAAATTCAAACTAAAAAAAAATAGTTTTGGAGGAACTAGTCGACATCACCAGGCATGAGTGAGTTTGTAGTTTCATTACAGTATATTGTTCATTTGTTTTCTCCTCAGATGGTTCCCTCAGTGTAGGAGAGAAGCAAACAGGATTTGAATATGTTGCCATGTTGAGATTTAAGGAGTAGATAAAGAGAAATGGCAAATGGTTAGAACCTTAACATCATGAGGAGTGAAGTGCTAAAACACAAAACCATACTGACAAGGTACATGGGGAATGATATAAAGCCAGGAGATGGACAGTCAGTCAGCTGTGAGAACATGTTTGAGTATGGTAGGAAAAGTGCATGTGTGAACCAGAAAAAAAGATTTATGATAGACTAGAGATCAGTTTACTAGAGTTCCCTATTACTGATCTGTCAAGTTGCCATGAGCCTTGTCACTTACAGAATCAAAAATTACAGTTTGGGAAGTTAGCAGCCTCAAATGGTTTGGCAAAACTGTGCTCATCCTGGAGGCCAGGGAACATGTTTTCCAGTCCTTTCCAGCATCTAGGGGACACCTGTGCTCTCTGGCTCCTGGTCTCACATTCCTGCTACCTTTGCCCGTCTGTTTCTGTAGTCACATCTCTTTCCCACCTCTGATCCTCCTGTCTCCTTATAAAAACCTTTGTTGTCACATCAGACCCTCTCCTGTAATTCAGAACCATCTCCCCATCTCAAGATACTTAACCATATCCACAGGGTCTTAAGTAAAGCAACACATTCTCGGGACATGTAAGTCATCATGGATGACATTGCTTGGCCTATGACAGAGCTAAAGTGCATATAGATGAAAGTGGTTTTGAAGGTTAAGTTTGAGGGCAGTCAAACGGTGGGTTTCTCCAGTAAAATATGAATAAACTATTAGGGTTTTTAATCTCCTTTAAAACATAGGGTCTCAAACCCACTTTATATCCCACAAATTGGTGATTCTGGTGCTTCTACCTCTCTACTGTGGGAATTACAGGTGTGCAACACAGTGCCTGGGTGATCTAGGTTTATAAGAAGATCTAACTAGGCTTAGAAGTCATCAATTTTTAGGATAAAGCAGATTGTGGATGTTGATACAGAAGTTACTAATAAACGCTAATGGCCAGGAAGTTGCAGACGGTGTAGAAAGTGGAGGAGAGTGTGTTAACTTCAGCAGAGAAGGAAGCAGCTTCTTGTAAACTGTAAAGTCAACTGCCTAAAAGAGGCCATGAGAGCCTGGGTGTCATCCTGGTTCTGCTTTCGATGATGTGTTGGAGAGTAAACAGCCACCAGAGGGCAGCAAAGAGTGTGGTATCCTCAGAAATACACACATCCTACAAGGATGTGTGCAGGAACTGAGAATTTAAAAATGAACTTTAGGTAACTTCTCTTCAGGAAATCACGTTTAATATAAGAGACAGACGCTGATACAGTGTAAAAGACCTATAATGGAAATACATCAAAATATGCGATTGAGGTGCATTCGGGGAATTTACAGGGAAGGTGTGACTTGTGAGCTGGCCTTGAGAGATGTGTAAAGTTTCACAGGAAAGCAAGAGGAACGAGTCATTATAAGAATGAGAAAGACTCTTAATTCTTTGCACTCTTCATTGGTTTTCTAGGAGTCATGAGAAAGACGTTACAGAGTTTTTGAAACAACAGAATTTGGAAGTTGAAGGCACAGTACTGACATGGTTAGCTCTTTGCAGGGGTGGGGGGTGGGAGGTGGGGGGGGGGGAGGTGTCTCTCCTTGGGGCAGTTGTCATTGTGCCTTCACAGGGTCTTTTTTCTGCACTTGAATAGTCCTGAAATCCCTACGTTTTCCTAGAAGGACACTCACACGTTGAGTCCCACTAGTATGACCGTGTTTCATTGCCAATCTCTAAACACAGCCTCATTCTGAGGCATACTGAGCATTGGGATTTACCATGTGAGCTTTGAAAGGATGTAATTTGTTCCATAACAATTCCTTTCTACCTGTAGGTTATGTGAACGATTGTGCTGCTATTATCAGGCTACTGAAATGGAGGCTGATAGCCCTGAGAGTTACTAATATTTCTTTTAGTTTCATACAGACATGGTTCTTGAATTAACTTCTATGTCTGGCCACACAGACTGCTAGGTACTCTGTTAGAGGCTTTCCCTGCAGAACAAGCTAGACACTAAAGGGAAAACACTGTGGCGGATTGATGGTTTCATAAGAGGATGTATAGGAGTCTGAGGTGCAGTTTCTAATCCAACCCTGAAATAAAACAGAGAAACAAAGCAGAGAAATAAATGTTGAGATCAGGGTAGCACTGAGAGTAGTGAGCAGTGATGAGAAGATGAGAAGGAAGAGGTGGCCACAGGGACAGTGGTTCTTAATAGGACCACATTTCAATTGTTCTTTGTTATAGCTGTAAAAAAGTGCAAC